GTCGACCTCCGCGTGCGTGCGTGCGTTGCGAGCGTGGCGTAGCTTGCGGCGTGCGGGAAACTCTCGGTGATAACCCTCCACACTCACACAATATACCCTCTTATCTTTTGGCAAAATGGACTAGGGTGTGCAAGAGAAAGGAAAATGCCTTCAAACTCCTACTTATGCACGGCCGAATGTACTAAGGGGGGGAAAAGAAGAATAGTCAAGGCATAAGACACATATCACTCATGCACTAGAACTAAGGAACACTTGGCATTACCATGTACTAGAGGACAATGAGGAATCTTGACCACACCACATGGAGCACGGCATTTTAAGGGGACAATGGGACAAAAGCACTAAAATACAACACACCCATGCACACATGTTACTACAAGACATAAGCTTGCACAAACTCACACATATGCACGACAATAGGACAATTGAAGGAATCTTGACCATAACTCACTCCAATATACACACTACATGCACGGCATTGCACATGAGCTTGGAACAAATGCACTAACACTTAATCTCACGGCATTTAGCACACAATGCACGGCAATTAGCATTAAGCTTGGGTTAATTAAAGATAATCCGAACACTTAAGCTACTAATCTCATGATTAATATAAATTAATCACTTAATTATGTTTAATTATCCAATTAAACATAATGCTTAATTACCAAAATTATTTCGAACGTAAACGGTACGTCGAAAATAGTTTCCGGTAATTTTAACTGAAATAACTGAAATTAATTAACTCCGAAAAATAATATCGGAACTAAAATATTATTATACTGATAAAAAGTCGGTATATTACAGATATCATGATAAGATATGTGGCTTAGTATATCCTCCTTTCAGAAATCAGAACTTTAGACAGAACTCTATTGGAGATAAGATGAGTTCAGTTACTTATCAGGAAATTAGTAAAGAATGATGCATCAGATATGCTACTCAAATTCTTTTCTAATCAAGTTTATGATGGTCAGAGATGGCCAGAAGAGCTCAGAATGCTGCAGCTGTGCCAGCTCAGAACTCGGTGAATGTTCTTGCTCAGTTTCTTGGGTTACAGCCAGCCACGTTCAATGGACAAGGAGATCCCAGAATAGTTGAAGAATGGATTCGTAGCCTTGAACAATTATTCGAGGCTATGAACTGCACTGAACAGGAGAGGATCCAGTGTGCCCAGTTACAGATGATTGGGGACGCTGGGTTATGGTGGTTCTTATATTGGCAGATGAGCACAGTGGAAGAAAAACAAGCTTTAACTTGGTCTGGTTTTAAGCAGATAGTGAAAGAAAAGTACTATCCTGCTTACTATAGAGCTCAGATGGAATGGGAGTTCCTAGACCTGGAGCAAGAACAAAGAAGAGTCGATGAATATGAGCGAGAATTTACTCGCTTAGCATTCTTCGTACCATATCTAGTGGGTACGGATGAAAAAAAAGCTAGACGGTTCAGGGACGGATTGAGAGATGTTATCCGGAACCATTTTGCAGGACATGGAGAGTTGTCCTATGTTGAGACTATTTCAAGAGCTCAACAAATTGATACCAGCATAAAGCAAAAGTCCCGACGAGTTCTTAAGACAACTGTTAATCCACCAGTTCAGCCACTGGTGCAGCAGATGCCTAATCAACAGGAAAATGCTAAAAACAAGAGAAAATGGAAGGCTCGTCAGGATGAAAGGAAAAACCGCCCTAGAGGCCAAGGGCAAGCAGGTCAACAACCACAACAGGTGCCGAATTGCGGTACTTGTGGAAAACTACATAGAGGAGAATGTTTAGCTGGTCGTGATATTTGTTACAATTGTCGAAGGCCAGGCCACAATGCACGTAACTGTCCAGATAAGAAGGCAGAATCAACAGGGCCAACAGCAGCAGACTCAAAATATTCATTCGCAGGCAAGGCAGGCAAATGTGTATGCTCTTAATCAAGCAGAAGTGGAAGAACACCCAGGTACTATGTCTGAGATATTAATATTGAATAATGTGCCAGTTTTTGCATTATTTGATACTGGAGCAACTCATTCATTTGTCTCAGATAAGTGTTTAGAAGCAATAAAAACTAAAGGAGTGAGTACAGTTGATCCTCTTGAGATCAGTTTAGCATCAGGAAAGAAAATTGTTACTAACTCAATAATAAAGAATCTTTACATAAGTATTGGAGGAAAAATTCTGGAAGCCAATGCTTATGTAATTGAGATGAGGGATTTTGACCTAATACTTGGTATGGATTGGTTGGATAGATATCAAGCAGATATTCGATGTCGTGATAGAGAAGTGAACCTCAAATTAGATGAGGATAATCACATCACTTTCTTTGGAGCCAAGTCAAGGACGTTACCACGTGTAATATCTATGGCGAATGCAACCAAATCTTTGCAAAAGAAGGATTGCCAGGGTTATCTGCTGAGCTTAGTTGAAGAAAATTTTGATAAGAAGAAACCCAAAAGTATCCTTGTAATAAGGAAATTTTTGGATGTTTTTCCAGAACAATTACCGGGAGTACCACCGGACAGACATGTGGAATTTACCATAGATTTGGTTCCTGGAGCAGCACCAGTATCTAGGGAACCGTACAGAATGGCGCCAAAGGAGTTGCAAGAGTTAAAAGTGCAAATTCAAGAGTTGTTGAAATTGGGTTTCATTCAACCAAGCGTTTCACCTTGGGGAGCACCTGTCTTATTTGTCAAGAAGAAGGACGGGTCAATGCGTATGTGCTTTGATTACCGGGAGTTGAACCGGTTAACAGTAAAGAATAAGTATCCGCTTCCTAGAATAGACGATTTATTTGATCAATTAAGAGGTGCCAGAATATTTTCTAAGATAGATTTACGTTCTGGTTACCATCAGTTGAAAATAAAGAAGACTGACGTAGCTAAGACTGCGTTCAAGACGAGATATGGTCACTATGAGTTTTTAGTGATGCCGTTCGGAGTAAGTAATGCACCAGCAATATTCATGGATCTCATGAATCGGGTATTTCAACCATATTTAGATCAGTTTGTTGTTGTTTTTATTGATGATATATTGGTCTTTTCTAAGAGTGAGGAACAACATGAAGAGCATTTACGTGTTGTTCTGGAGACACTCAGAAAAGAGAAGCTATATGCTAAATTCTCTAAGTGTGAATTTTGGTTAAATAAGGTGGTGTTTCTTGGCCATATTGTCACAGCTGAAGGTATAGAAGTTGATCCAGGAAAGATCACAGCTGTGAGAAATTGGTCAAGACCAAAGAAAGCCAGTGAGATAAGAAGTTTTCTTGGACTAGCTGGATATTATAGAAGATTCATCGAAGGGTTTTCTAAAATAGCCTTACCTTTGACACAGTTGACAAAGAAATCAGTGAAGTTTGAATGGAGTGATAAATGTGAAGCTAGTTTCGAAGAATTAAAGAAGAAGCTGACAACAGCACCAGTACTAACGATACCAGATCCTACTCGTGATTTCACTATTTATAGTGATGCCTCAAAACAGGGTTTGGGATGTGTGCTGATGCAAGATGGAAAAGTTGTGGCATATGCTTCGCGACAACTGAAGCCACATGAGCAGAATTATCCAACTCATGATTTAGAGTTGGCAGCTGTAGTGCATGCTCTAAAGATATGGAGACATTACTTGTATGGAGGTAAATGTGAGATCTTTACAGATCACAAGAGTTTGCAACATATATTTACTCAGAAGGAGCTTAATATGAGGCAAAGAAGATGGTTGGAATTAGTGAAGGATTATTATTGTACAATCAACTATCATCCAGGGAAGGCCAATGTAGTTGCAGATGCGCTTAGTCAGAAAGGAGAAGGCCAGTTGTATTGTATGATCACTCAACAGGATCAACTGGTAAGAGATTTCACAAAGATGCAGATAGAAGTGGTGAAACCTTGCATCGAAGTGCAAGGAAGTATTAGTACGATGAGGATGCAATCTATGTTGAGAGATAGAATTCGGCAGGAGCAGTCCGGTGATGGGTTTGTCCGTTCGCTGGAGACGAAAGTTCAAAATAGTGGAATTGAAGGTTTTCACATAGGAACAGATGGATCACTAGAGTATGAAGGAAGAATTGTGGTGCCAAAAGTAGAATCCTTGAGAAAGGAGATTTTAAGAGAGGCACATAGTGCACCATATTTGGCTCACCCAGGTAGCACCAAAATGTATCACGACTTGAAAAAGTTGTTTTGGTGGAGGGGTATGAAGAGGAGTATAGCAAATTTTGTGGATAAATGCTTAGTTTGTCAACAAGTCAAAGCTGAGCATAAACGTCCACCAGGTTTACTACAGCCATTGGGTATTCCCGAGTGGAAGTGGGAATATATTACCATGGATTTTGTCACGGGATTACCTAGATCGAAAGAGAATCATGATGCAGTTTGGGTAGTTTTGGATCAATTGACAAAAATGGCCAGGTTTTTGCCAGTAAGGATGACAATGACCATGGAGCAGTTCACAAGAATTTATATAAATGGAGTAGTGAAATTCCATGGAGTGCCAATAGCGATAATATCAGATCGAGATCCCAGATTTACTTTCAGCTTCTGGAAGAGTCTAAATGAAGCCATGGGTACAAGTTTGAAGTTCAGTTCAGCTTACCATCCACAGACAGATGGACAGTCTGAAAGAACGATTCAAACTCTTAAAGATATGCTAAGAGCTGGTGTTTTAGATCGTGGTAGTACATGGGAAGAACTATTACCATTGGTGGAGTTTGCCTATAATAACAGTTATCAGGCAAGTATCAAGATGGCACCGTATGAGGCTTTGTATGGGAGAAAGTGTAGATGTAACACCCCGCTTTTCCATAAATATCAGAGTGCGATTTTCGCAATTTCTTTCCAATGATTATCTTTTTAAGTTTGCGAAACATATTTCGGGATGCCACATAAAATATTACTTTTCTAAAAATCCGTTAACAATATTTATTTTGAGAGCTTATTTATGGAAACGGATTATCGTTCATAATACAAGCGTGTGGTATTACATAAAATCTGACCCGAAGGCTCGGATCGTAGTCTGAAAATTTACACGCTAGTTTCA